CACACAGGGCAAATATTCGTCTAATTGGCGGAAGCAGTACAATATCATCAAGTCGAAGTGCTTAGAACTTGTGTGTCCTTTCTGCCAGTGTGTAAGACCTCTTTTATGACCTCACTTTCGCCCCTTTGTGCTTGGTCGAGTAGACAAATAAAATCCTTATTTTCACTCTCCTCGAACGGTTTTATTTAAGTTTCGCGCTCAATGTTTTTATTTGCTTTTAATAGGCGGACGCGGACGAGAAGTTTTGGCCGGAATCCAGCCTTCGGTGGCAACCTTAGTGGCTGGCTGTGTTTGCCCTAACATTGAAAAAGTTTTCTCAGCCGCTTTCTTCGCAGGCAGCGGCTCATAAAGCAAACTGTAGACCCACCTGCCTTTCCCTTCACCTGGGCTTTCCATTCCTAGGTGCGAATGATAAAGGCAGGGCGGGAAAGCCCGCAAACTTTTCCCAGCAACAAAAGGTCACTGAACAATTGACAAAGGCGGCGTGCTGCTGTCTCTGGGATTGCCAAACGCCATTTAAAAAGTTTTACATAGTAGTTGGCCAAGGATCTTGGAAAGTACCCGCAAAGGCAGGGGTTTCTCCAATAAAAAATACGAGAGAACGCTGTGGTCGAGTTCCTCGACCAACAAATACCCTTTACTCAGTAAGGAGGTGTGCTAGGGAGAAATTTAAATTTTATCGGCATATTAATATAAATTGGAATGAAATTAGTGATATTAAAAAGAAATCAAAACATTTCCAAAGTGTGGGCGTGGAAGAGTGGGCCACAACAATCAGCTTGCCTAATCTTAAATTTGTAGTTCGGCGTTCATACGGACAGGCATACGACTCGGCTGGAGTTCCTGATTAAAAAGTATATATTTAATAGGGACAGAAGCGATTCCCTCTACCTGTTCCATACACTTCATCCGTTAAATACCCTTCTTTTCTACGAGTTAGAATGGATATAAAAACCCTCTTAACAATGTAAAGAACTAGTGAAAAGTGCTTCTTCAATAAACGTTTTTATATCAACTCTTGTGGCGAAAAATTATTTTACGTACGACTAAAGTCTTTGAAGTCATTTTCAGTATCAGAACATTTTATTGGGAGCATCAAGCTGAATTTTCGTTGACATGTGGAAGATGCCTTCGAATACGGTCTAGGTGCGCTTCATCACTACGTCGATTGACGGATAGAGTGATATTGGGCACTCTTCAAGTTTTCACATTCGCAATATTTGGTATTTTTTTTTAATTTCACAGACCGGAGGAGTGATGTGTGAAACTGTAAACCATTTCTTGTTCCGTAGATATTCCATTTCAGCCAAAACATTTTCTCTGTTTACGTTTTATGAGATAATTCAAGCCAGGCAGATTTTGTTCCTGAGCAGTCCAAGAAATGAGTGTTTAACTAGAATTATTCTAGTGTCTTTGGTTTAGCTATTCAAAGGTGCAAATACGTTACAAGCTGAGTGACCAGAGCGCGCGTTGTGGTATTTTCGTGGTATATTTTAGAGCGCTCTCCTGCTCTTGAATCCGCTACGGGCACACTGCACTCACAGTTTCGTGCAACTTTTTGTACGCAAATAAGAAAAACACAGATTTTGCTCGCAGGCAAATCGATAATTGCAAACGCAGCGCCGTTTCAATTGCAGCAGAATCCGCGACGAAAATGTTGGCGATCGAGTCGAGACAGATCCTGAGCCGCGTGGGATCCCTGGTGGCCAGGAACCAGGTGAGTGGAGTACGCGGTGGCCCAGTATTCTTCTGGCCAAGATTTCAGGGGCGTGTCGGGGGCGTAGGCGGCTTTTGGGCCGCACAGTTATATAAGGCGGAACTAGGTGGTCCGGGATAAAAACACCAGAGATAAACACGCAAACTGCACTCCGTAATTGGGGGAACTGCCAACTGGCGTTAGCTGTTATGTAAACTTTTTTTTTCAGCGGCACCTGAGTTGGATAAAATTGGTAATAGCGTGATTCTCCGAACTTTCAGCTCCGCGCCATCAGCAATGGTACCGCCCAACTGCAGCAGCAGGCGCAGCCCAAGGAGGACCAGGAGCCGCAGATCAAGAAGTTTGAGATCTACCGCTGGAACCCGGACAACGCCGGGGAGAAGCCGTACATGCAGACCTACGAGGTGGACCTGCGCGAATGCGGCCCCATGGTGCTGGACGCGCTCATCAAGATCAAGAACGAGATGGACCCCACGCTCACCTTCAGGCGCTCCTGCCGCGAGGGCATCTGCGGCTCCTGCGCCATGAACATTGGCGGCACCAACACGCTGGCCTGCATCAGCAAGATCGACATTAACACCTCCAAGTCCCTGAAGGTGTACCCGCTGCCCCACATGTACGTGGTGCGCGACTTGGTTCCGGACATGAACAACTTCTACGAGCAGTACCGCAACATCCAGCCCTGGCTGCAGCGCAAGTGAGTGTGAGCAATTCCTCCATACTGGGACAACACTAATACCACGACCTTTGCAGGAACGAGGCGGGCGAGAAGAAGGGCAAGGCCCAATACCTGCAGTCCGTCGAGGACCGCTCCAAGTTGGACGGCCTCTACGAGTGCATCCTGTGCGCCTGCTGCTCCACCTCGTGCCCCTCGTACTGGTGGAATGCCGAGAAGTACCTGGGCCCCGCAGTGCTGATGCAGGCCTACCGCTGGATCATCGACTCGCGTGACGAGAACTCCGCCGAGCGTCTGAGCAAGTTGAAGGACCCCTTCAGCGTCTACCGGTGCCACACGATCATGAACTGCACGCGCACCTGCCCCAAGGGCCTCAATCCCGGTCGGGCCATCGCCGAGATCAAGAAGCTGCTCTCGGGCCTGGCCTCCAAGCCGGCTCCGAAGCTGGAGACGGCGGCGCTGCACAAGTAGGGTCCCAGTCTTGTACACCCCGTTTGTCCCCTGCTGTCCTTAACCAGTGAGCTAAGTCTCCGAAAATTTGTAGTGGAGACTCCTCCAGGCAACATGCTTACTATGTTATAATTTATTTAAGACTAAAGTATCCGACACTTGTTATTACAGTTTGTAAAGGGAACAAAGCGTAAAAAAATAAATAATTGTGTATCTACCAGCCGGGCAACATTGTAAGCCACAATCTGGGCAGTCCCAATTCCAGAGCCGAAGATCATTGTGGCGCCCATTCAGGGGGCTGTGGGCGAGGTCTCGTCGTTCATCTGGATGTCGTCGGCGGAGTAAAAGTCCTGGGTGACCGGAATGACTCGGTCGTTGGTCTCATCATCCTCCTCGTCGTGACTGTCCGTGTCCTCGCTGTCGTCGTTGGCTGAAGGAGGAGAAGTAGGTGGGCAAGCGGTAATGGTAGTCCGAATGGAGTTTCCTGCCGTACTCACCATCCTCGTCGTCGGTTTCAATTCCGGGTATGGTGAGCATCTTGCCCAGCGGCTGCAGATCTGTACCGGCCGTTTTAAGGGACTCTCTCTACATGGACAGTTTATAACAACAGAATTACACAGAAAGCGGTGTCTTGAAAATACTCACCCAGTTGCTCCTTTCATCCTCGTAACGCCGTGTCTGTGATTCTTCGTTTACGGAGGCAGGAGCCAGGTCCAACCAGTAGCGATTGGCCACGGAGACTTTAAGCGTGGGAAAGAATGGAATCATGGACATTTTTGACGGAATCTTGAATACGCTATTTTCAATAGTTGTTGTTCTTCCTCCGGACGCCTTCGGCGCGATCTGGCAACGCCGCAACAGACTGAAATAATACCAATTTTTCAGGGGCGTAGTTGAAGGGGCCCATTAAACCCAAATTGCCATTTTGGAATTGTTTTGTAATAGTAGTTCATCAATCTATTTCATTATTAAATTAAACAGTTACGCTAGTTTAAGCAATAACACCTATATATGTTGAGGTCCCTTTAATGTTGCAATTCGCCCCTAAGTATCGAACATAACCCATACAAATAATATGCATTATTCAATATTTATTTATTTATTAAAGAAACTATAAAAATTGGACAAACTCCACACATGAACATGATTCCCTGCAGTATTATTGATAGTAAAGTTCCAGATTCATGCCGTCGTGGATTTCATCTGAGAAAGCGAGATACAAATGCGGTTAAATCAAGGAGTTACAAGGAGACTGCTTAGGAGCTTACAGTCGGATAGGCGAATCGGATCCTTGTAGATCGTGTACCACTTCTTCAGGACAATCTTCTCGTGCTTTGTGCCCGTTTGTGCCGCGATAAGTTTCTTGAGGTCCCCGATGGTGTCGTCCGGGTTACACTTGACGCGTACCTGCGGGTTAACCGTTGGTTTATGATGCTTGAAGTTTGCCTTAGGGTCTAAGTTACTTACCTTCTTGCCAAGACGGTCGTTACACGTTATTTCTATCATGTTTTATGGCTTTGGAAGGAAAATCACAACTAAAAACCTCACGATTTGTTGTGTTATTGTTGCTTAGGGTTGTCAACTACCCTTAACCGGATTCCGAGTGGTTTGAGCCATCGCTTAAATGTTCGCTGTGTTATCGATATTTCACTGAAACATTTATTTAATTGTAAATGCATTTTAATAAGAAACATATAGTAAGAGGAAATAAAGGCGCTAGAAGTCTTAACAGTGCTCTTACTTTAAGTCTCTGGACGCACTTGTTAGCCATTACGAAAATCTTTCACATTCCCGAAAAACGGTTGGTAAGCAAATAGGTTGGAAGTCGGCTGTTCTGGTTTCTGGCAGCTGAATTAAATTTTTTTCTTTATATTTTATTGTAACAATTTAAGGCTCCTTTATGCAAGAACATTTACGCAGACAACAATGTGTACGGGGAAGATTTAAAAAAAAATTCAAAAGTATGTCATATTGTCAACATAGTCATGTTAACAAACGGATTTTTTTAAGATACAAGTGAAAATACAATTCGATTTGCAATATTAAAATCAAAAGAAAATACCGAAATGTATTCCAATAATCTCTTGAATATCAACATTAAATTTGAAAGTTCCTCCTAAATGATTAATTCACGATGCCAACAATCGATAGGTGGCAAAACATCGATATGTGTAAAGAATAATCGATGTGTCTTTCCAGTCCACAATCCATTCGAATTTTTTCGCCGCTCGGAAAAGACGTGATTTTCCCGTCGTGATAGTGGAGGCTATTTTTAAAACCGTCGCGGCGTTTGCAAATAAACCTCATATTCATCTATTAAATCGGAGGAATTCGTTAGTGCAGCAGAACCAGAAATATTGCTAAGTACGTGCCATATTTGCGGGCGAACTGCCCGAAGCCTTGTGCGTAGTTTTTGTTTGTGTGCGTGTGTGCCTCATTTGTACATCTACGTACATACACATGTACGTTATGACGCAGCTGTGGAAAACTTGTTTGGGTTTCCATTTCCCCGAAACAACGAATATTTGCGCCATTACTACGAACTCATTTTGGGCAGTAAACCCATTGTATTGATTATCGCGCGTTGTTTGTGGATGGCGTGGTCCGCCGGAGCACCCAGAAGCGCCTCCCCGTCCCCTGGAGTCGGCATCTGTGCTCGATAGGTCGGGCGTCGTTTTCGGCTATGTGGCCCACCACCAATGATCCACGGTCACTGGCAAGCAATTCGCGATCCGAAATGCTCCGGCCTATTTTTAGTCGCGGTCTTTGCGGCCTGCCTACTTACCTCCCCAATGCATTCTAATTAAAAACCGGGCACTGCGCTCATTTCCACACGCATTGCATTGCATAATGCGGCATTAATGTGGCGTGGAAAGCTCGCTTCGAAGAGCACTCGAGCATTGAATTGAAGAGCACATAGCACATAGATCGAATGTTTTCCAGCTGCCCAATTGTAAACAACCCACGCCTAGCACGCACACACACGCACACAGACGGGTTTTAATGTTTACTCCAAATAAATCGCTGCCCATGTTAATTATTTGTCTTCGCAGGGCCCAAGCACCGGAGAGCATATAAACATGAGCGAAGATACATACCAGATAGAAACGCGTCGGCGGTCGCGTTCCAAGACTCCCTTCCTGAGGTCCAGCTGCGACCATGAGAACTGCGAGCACGCCGGAGAGGAGGGGCATGTGCACCACCTCAAGAAGAAATCGGCGGCCCCCAATGTGCAGTAAGTGTCTGGAATACTCCCCAAGACGAAGCCCCTTATCTCGAACCCTTAACTCTATACTTAGCCGTTGCTATTAGTAAAATTGTGAGCATTCAATATGTTTACGGAGACGGGTAGTTGATCCTATGATCGTTTGACTAAAGTTGTCAAACTTTAAAGTTGCCAGAAAAATTCAGAATAAACAATATATGTAACTACCGTCGAACTGATCATAAATCAAAATCACCGTTATGATAATTCCCATATAGTCCTGAGTAATTATATACAGACTATTGGTTCCAGTTATCCAAGCTGCACTGTAGGAATTCACATTCACAGCGACTGTATGTATGCCGTGTGCCGCCGCCATGACGTCACCTTTTTGTTATTCACGCTCGCCGCGAATTTAGATTTCGAAGCGGGTAGGAAACGAAGGCAAAGCCTCATACAGGGTGCGGCATCTGGTCGAGCTTCGTTAGTTTTTGGCGCCTATTTCGAGAGCGCCTGGTCCGATCAGTCTTCAAGACTCGATGACGACATTCGGAGTCCAACGTCGGCCGTCAGAAATTGTTTTCACGTTTTAGCCAGTAAATCGAGCACGCTGGGGTGGGCTAACAGTTGCTTGCGCTGAAGGCCAGCAGCGATTATAAGCATATTTTTGTGTTTTTGTTTTGATACGTTGTACTCGTCGTTTTAAACGATTCCGATCACGTTATCACGGACTTGCTGAAATATTTCCCCCAATTCTTAGCAACTACTAACTAACCTCTTCTTTGCAGAACGATATTGGAGGAGCATATAGTGGAGTCGAGCAGTAGCAAGAAAACCAGGGGAAAGGGCTTCGCCCAGCTGACCTCAGACTACTCGAGCGACGATATGACTCCGGATGCCAAACGCAAGCAGAGCTCGATCACGACCACAGTCACGTCAATTCTAACTAAGCGATCCGGCGGAGCCACATCGACGCCACGGAACAGAAGCCAGCTGGAGACCACGCAAAACACGCTGAACACTGCCCAGGAGAAGCTCAACCAATCCAACGGAAATCTAAGCTCGGGAAATGTCAGCGACTATCTGGCCTACATTGAGTACAAGAAGGCTGGCGAGTACTGGAAGTGAGTGAAGCAATCCTTTAAATTTAAACCGTATACTAATGATGTTATTATGCAGCACAACTCCCAAGACGGACTATACCTATTCAGAACTGTCCCCCCACCGACGCCAGTTGGCGCCAGGAATTGTGGCCATGCCCAATATGTCCAGAAAGAGCCTAGGAAACCATAACGATCGAGTCAACTACATGGTCCAGCAGAACCCTGCGCAGGAGGAGTTCATCCGCCGCCGCTACCAGTCCAAGTATACCCAGCCTGTTAACTATGACTCCGCAGACGAACTGGACGCCACCTTTGGGCAGAAAAAGCAAAGTTGGTGGCTCATCCGCCTCATTCAGCTGGTTGTTAGCAGCGTTACCACCGTCTGGAATCGGGTGACCAATCTTTCGGCCACGGAGACGACTGCCTATCAAAACTACTACGCTAAGCGCCAGCAGAGTCAACAAACTGGACTTTGGGGAAAAATAGTACAGACCATCGGAGGAGGATTGGCGAGTTTGCTGCGCTACCTGTATATATTCATTGCATCGGTTTTGAGTTTGGACACGTGGTTGCTGCGCTCCTCGGATGCGGAAAACAAGTCGAAAAAGCGCTTCCTCATATTTCTGCTGATTTTGTTGCCCTTGCTGCTGCTGTCGGGTGAGTAGGCTTACTAAGCACTGTACGATTTACGATGTAAAGTAAAATATGTTGGAGCGTGTGCCTTGACCTTGGATCGGTATGAGAATTCATACTGTATGCATATAGATCACCTTCAGTGGTTTTATTTATAAACTAGTCTGGTCGTTGGCATTCGCGTGACGCCATCGATAATTTGTTGTTAAAATCCCGCGGATTAGATTTTAGTGGCCATGTGATGACATATTTTATTTTCCATTCGTCGTCAGCGAAGGTTAAACGCCTAATTTGCTTTGCCTTTGCAGGTCTGTTCTATTACATACACCCCAATGAAACTTTCCCACCCAAATCCTTGTCCGAATACACATTCACCCTACCTGAGTTGCCCAAAATCGACGTGAGGGATTACCTGAACCAGGCGCAGCTTGAATCCGTGCGCTCCCAGGCCGCCGAGCATGCGGTCCGCGTTCGCGATTGGGCCGACGACTACGTCTTGTACTTAAGAACCATCGGTCAGAACGTGGTCAACAAGGGGCGTCAGTTCTTTCAGGACGACGATAAAGTCTATTATGAGCGTGTGTAGGGAACATCTGCAATGGGCAGGCTACCGTTTGGTGGTCGAACTGGTGCAGCAGTTGGCTATTTAGTATGACTTTGTTGCGTGCCACGCCCCTTGCACTTAAGCAAATATGAGAAACTTTCTTTATGAACAATATTAGTACAAAGTAAAGCATTTGATCAGTTTTTTGTCCGTCTGCTTGTCCGCACCTTTGGGCACTTATTTTATAGTTTTTCGTACCGTCATATACCTACCGTCATTTTCATAGGCAAACTTCCACATATCCCACCTTACTAACCCACACAATTCCCAACAAAATGCAACCTCACAGGCTGATGGGAGAAGGATAGAGCTCGCCGCTGTTCAAATTGCAGAATTCTCGTAATCATTTACGTAAACTTCATTCTTGTCCAACAATTAGGGCCTTTATCCGTCTGGGTCAATGCCCTAACTAAATCTTACTTGTTGTCAAACAACGTTTAATTGTAATTTGTTCATTGTTTGCTTTGTAACAGTCTATACAAATAAATCGCAAACAATTTCATACAAAACATCAAGTACAAAGAAGAGTAGTTTGTTTTATTTGCCATTTGTTGGAAGTTCGCTAAATGGTAAGTAAAATGTAAACACAGCAATATTAGTTGGCCAGAATCGAACTCTATCCTTCTGCATTTGTGTTGGAATTACCCCAAAAACGAGTTCCCTGTTACCTCAGTCCGATTGATAATTGAAGTTGGTGGGAACTGGAAATGTAGAAGGATTGCCAACTAATAATGCTATGTTTAATTCTCTCCTTCCCCAGGATGGTTGCTGTTGCAGGAGGATCAACGTATTGCGTACGTTCAGCGTGCGGAAGGTCTGTTGCCACTGCCACTAGCTCTTTTCTGCTCCGTATACAGCCGGTTGTCAAATGCTGGAGCCACCTTGAAAAGTTGGATGGAACTGCCCACCGCCATAAGTCCCCAGCAGGAAGAGGAGGCCATTAAGGTAAACATGGCCAGCATTGAGAGGAACATCCAGAAAGCCTTGACTGCGGAGGAATACGAAAATATCCTAAACCATGTGAACAGCTACGTGCAGCAGTTGGTCGAGCTGAAAATGCAGCAGCATGCCAAGGAGCTCCCACCGCAACAGATTCAACTCATTGTTCAGCTAATGAAGGAAAACCTCCAGCAGATTGCCCACAAAACGCAGCTAAGCGAAAAGGACTTGACGGATCTGGTCACAAAACTGAAGCTGGAGCTGCAAGGCTCGGGCGGCTGGCCAGATGGAGCTAAGCTATCACGAGCTAACTTGGAGGAGATAACCAGGCTAGTTAAATCAGAGCTGCACCTGCACGAATCGCACTACAAAATTCAACTGGACAGGATTGACTTTCCGGCTCTGTTGGAGCAAATTCTGGCTGCGCCAGCATTGACAGATTTTGTAGATGCTCGAATTGGTCTTCAGGTGGGAGAGCTCGAGCAAAAGGAAAGTTCCGGTGCCTCAGATGCAGAAGTCCAAATTGAGCGCCTAAACAGGGAAATCGCCTTCATAAAGTTGGCCCTCTCCGACAAGCAAGCGGAGAACGCTGATCTGCACCTATCGATCAGCAACCTGAAGCTCGGCCACGAGGATTTGCTGGAACGCATACAGCAGCACGAACTTGCCCAGGACAAGCGTTTTCATGGGCTGCTGGCTGAAATAGAAAGCAAACTGTCTGCGCTTAACGACTCGCAGTTCGCTCTGCTCAACAAGCAGATCAAACTGTCCCTGGTCGAGATTCTGGGCTTCAAGCAATCCACCGCTGGCGGTGCCGCTGGCCAATTGGATGACTTCGATCTGCAGACCTGGGTGCGCAGCATGTTTGTGGCCAAGGACTACCTGGAGCAGCAGCTGCTGGAGCTGAACAAGCGCACCAATAACAACATCCGCGACGAGATCGAGCGATCCAGCATCCTGCTGATGAGCGACATTAGCGAACGGCTCAAGCGGGAGATTCTGCTGGTTGTGGAGGCAAAGCAAAACGAGAGCACCAAAGCGCTGAAGGGCCATATCCGCGAGGAGGAGGTGCGCCAGATAGTCAAAACTGTGCTAGCCATCTACGATGCCGATAAGACGGGTCTGGTGGACTTCGCCCTGGAGTCGGCGGGCGGCCAAATCCTTTCCACGCGCTGCACTGAGAGCTACCAGACGAAGTCAGCCCAGATATCGGTGTTTGGAATTCCACTCTGGTATCCCACCAACACGCCGCGGGTCGCCATCTCACCCAATGTGCAGCCTGGGGAGTGCTGGGCATTCCAGGGTTTTCCCGGATTCCTAGGCAAGTCGCGGGTGAATAGTTAATACTAAGAAAGTCTTTATAGTTTTCTTCCCACAGTGCTGAAGCTTAACTCGTTGGTGTACGTCACAGGATTCACCCTAGAGCACATACCAAAGAGTCTATCGCCCACAGGAAGAATAGACTCGGCTCCTCGCAACTTCACTGTTTGGGTAAGTTTGACCTAATGACAAAGGAAGTGGGCCACATTTAATACGATTTATGCATTAACTCAGGGCTTGGAGCAGGAGAAGGACCCGGAACCCGTGCTATTCGGCGAGTACCAGTTCGAGGACAATGGTGCTTCGCTTCAGTACTTTGCCGTTCAAAACCTGGACATCAAACGACCGTACGAGATCGTCGAACTGCGGATCGAGACGAATCACGGCCAGCCCACCTACACATGCCTCTACCGGTTTCGCGTACACGGCAAACCGCCGGCCACATAGATCTGCATGCAAATTTCTCTAGCGATTTAAGTACTGCCAGGTGTACATAATGTCTGTGCCTTAAAAAGGAAACTCAACAATATATCACTGCGAGGTGTGGATCAGATGAGCCCAGCCGCTTTTAACCATGCGAACTATGTAAAAAGTAAGGCTATAGATTTTAAGTGTTTTGTATCATATCGTAGGTGTAAAGTGTTTAAATCCCATTAAGGTTAACTTGTACATAGCTTATTATTTAAACCGGGGCTCGAGTCCAATGTCCTAATAAGTCCTATAATATTTTATAGTATTTAGTTATTTCCCTGAAATCAATCATCGTTCCTTTAAGTCTACTCTACTTACCTATGCATATTTTTACCATGTTTGCCATTTGAAAGCGTTTTGAAGTTAATAGTCATAGTTTGTCTAAGCCACACACTTGCTTGAAATGTATAGTTTAAGCTACATCTAAGCTAAAATGTTTACGATGAAAACTTGCAAGATTCTCTAAAATGCCATTGCGTTTTGAGCTCACACCTGAACCCCTGTCAAATAAAATTCAGTGAACTATCGAATAAATCCGGCATCCATCCCTCCCAACAAAACAATCCAGTTCAAGTTTTCCGTACTTGTATACGTTTTATGTCTAAGGAGTGAACCCAAAAATAGTTGATAATTAAAAATATAGTTTTCTACTGTTTCTACAAGTTTACTTAATTGGCTTAGTTTGTATCTACTTGCTTCGTTTAATGCATTTCCCCATTTTATAACAATAAACACATTGCTATGAAAAAACACGTTTTCTTTGTCAAAAAGCAGCCAAGAAATAGCTGTCAAAGCCATGGGCAGTAATTAACCCCTGCTGTAATTAGGTATTTCTGGACGTCCGTAAAGGATTGAAAAGGAGTGGTGCAAGGACTCTAAAATCTACTGTCGCTTGTGTCCTTCGCTATCTACGCTTAGATAGTGTGCGTGAATTGGCCATTTAAATCGGATTTAATTACATAATGGCACATTTTACTCCTCACTGCGGCTGCTTATAATTTGCTAACGATTTCCATGTTATTGTTAAGCTGATTTCGCATAAATGATGTTGCAGGACTTGCGCTTCAACCTGATGAATTTATTTAGTGCATTCATGTTGCAGACTCCTCTTCGGTAATTTAGTAATTTAATATGAAAATACCTTCGCAACTGTTGACTGCGCACGGATGTGACATTTCGTCTGGGGTTAATGTAAATTGTCCTTTAATTTGTTGTGCCAGGACATTCCTGGCGCTGGCAAGTCAAAGGATTTCATCTTCAAGCGCCAGCGAAGGCATGCACTTAATTAAGGCCAGCTAGCTGTCTCGCAGATGTGATGTGATGGAGCATCTTGGATGCCGGGACCCGTCAAAGGGACCACCTGCAGATGTATTAAATTTCGCCGAATAGAGCGACGAGGCCACTGGGACGCAATAAGGCAGATTCTTGCCTCGCAAGGATCAGCGTCGCGTCGCAACAGGACTGCGGCATGTCCTCGTTTGAGCCTGAATTAGGGGCATTGCTCAGGCGTTTGTGTAACTGCGAGATCCCGTCTACACACACGCATTAACTTTAATTGCCACTGGGCCCGAAACTTTTAATTTCGTGGGGCGCCAGCTCAGCGTGTTCATTTCGCACCTGCTCGATGGCTGGCGAGGATGTGGCCCGGCATGCAGCACGCTTAATTTGCTTACACAAATCTTGCTCAAATGCCAGCCACCTCCGCCGGCGAATTCCCATCGGGGAAGTAAAAAATGAAACGACTCTGGGATCTGGCACTCTAACAGCAAAACTTTCGTCCTGCAAGTGTGTAACAATTAAACTGCAGCTAAAAATAGTGACTAATGAGAAAAGTTTGCAGCAGCGGCTGTAAAAAATGAAGGCAACCCACACCCGCCGCCGACTCTCGTCCACTGGATGGAGAATGGAGAATCGAGTCGAGCAGAGTGTTTAAGTTGGCGGCAACTTTCTCTGTTCTGTATTGAATTTGCTGGCGTGTCGGGCCGCAATTTGCTGGCATTAATGGATCAGCCAGCTGAAGTGTGCCAGCCATAAAGGGAGTTGCAATCCTGCCGAGACAATAAAACTCGAGCCATCATATCACACGCTTATCCCCCAGCCGCAGCGAAACTTCGGGAAAGTTTTCGTCCTGGTTCGATAAGGAAATTCCTCAAGTTTCTGCAAAAGCGTGCAAAAGGACACTTTGCTGGTGCTTAATGCGTGCAGCAGTGGGCTCCTCTTGTAGCGAAACTAGGCCCAAATAGTTGCTCCTGATCCTAGGATCCATGCGGTCCAAGTCAACCTGCAGAGCAGCGTTTATGGCCGCCTTGGGTGTCGCAAACTACTTGCGCTTCCGGCCGAGGTGGTGGCCATGTGATGTGGCAACCGATCGCCCGTACAGTCGGATCCGCTTAATATGCGCATACATTGGGAAAGTCGGGAAAGTTTTGTTTGCCATGCAAATCTGTTTGCCATGTGCGGCATCGCTTAGTTAGAGACACTTGTGTGACTTGTTGGCGTAATTAAATTCATTTGGGGTCGGGCGCACAATAACTATTTAACAATCCGTTATGCACACATTTTGATAACTTTCAATTTGATTCCATTCTCCGGCGGTAGCTCAGCTCAGTGGGAGCGGGAGCAGGAGCAGGAGGAAGTAAGTGGAGCCAGAGGAAGTGTTGTGCTCTGCGGGCATAATGAAATAAACTTGTCACACAGTCGGCAGAAGCCATTTGCACCATGTCCTGCTACCCGAAACTACGTCCGCCGGATGAACTGCGCGCCGGGGGTCAAAGTTCGGCAGGCAGCAGCTGCTGCGCCACTCTCATTGCAAATTTAATTACGCATGGCACTTGTTTACCGATCCAAAGTTAAGCCTTGCTCCCCAGCGGACGTGCGCATTAACCTTAATTAAGTGGCAAACAATCCAAGTTCGTCACGGCATCATTTTATTTACAGACAATTGAATTTTAATAGGATTTCGCCTCTGCCTTAGTACCCACCACCCACTCCCTTTGAGCTCGAGTCCTGGAATCCTTGCCCCCGCCAGACTGTCCATTTGCATAGCTTTTGACAACGCAACTCTTTGGGTTGCCGGCCATTATTTCGCACTTCTGTGTAATTTAATTCATTTGCAATGCCTTTGCGAATTATATGGATGGGAGGTTTACTCTGCCATTTGCCATTTGCCATTTGCCATTGCCTTTGGCCTGTGTTAGCCTGCCATGTGCTGGCCTCCACTGCCTCGGGATTTTTGTCCTTTCGGCGGCCCAGTGTTTGGCCTTAAAGTCCTTTTGCGGCCACGGGCCACAGGAACCCGAAAGCCGCAAGCCACTTTCGTGATCCTTCATCGGAGTCATCTTAACGCATCATTTAAGCCGGCAGGGCGGTTGACTCCCCAAACAGGGTCAGATAACGTTCGTCCTTGCTGCTCTTAATTAAAGATTAAATGTGCTAAGTTGCGGGACTTTTGGCAGAGGACGTTGCTTTAATGTCGGCCATTGGCTCGATATCCTGTCCATGTGTTTGGCGGAGGGCAATGTGTGCTGCTTCTGGGTCCATCCATGCAGCCATCCATCAATCAATCAATTACGCTTGGAAGTGCGCCAGGATAATAAAACGTGCCTGAAACGGAGTTTGGTCAGCAAAATTTACGATCAACTTGGCAGAAAGCCGTATTACAGTTTACGTATTAAAGAAAGCGCCTTTTAGACCGTTATTACCAAGAAATCTTAAAACCAATTCAACCAACGTATTGCATTTCGGGGCTTGCAATTCATGCCACTGCTGCATGTGCTGCAACTTTTATCTGTAAAAGCATATTTGTAGGCGATAGCACATAAAACCATAAAACGCAAGCAAAGGTGTAGAAAATTCAGGGAATGGCCAATACAATTGCCAATTTCAGGCACTGAATAGTCGATTGCCTCGAGTGTCACATACCCATTAATCTCAGAGTTTAATTTTATATCATAATATCATTTAGTATATATTCTGCTTTGGCGGATAAATAACTAAATTAAGTCGTACAGTGAATATCTTTTTGTATTTATTTCGTTTTAAATGTTGCACGACTCGTAATAAAGACGTTTCACTGCCAGCTTGCATATTTCAAAAGACATTTTTCCCCTCCTAGAATAAAAGGCAACGCAACATATTGTTGTTGAGCAGTAAGTTGCAAAAATTGTTTGCAAGTCCTTTGCACAAATAATGGATGTGCCATTGAAGTAAACACTTCAGTTCGCCGAAGTGAACTTGGCTTGAAAAATGCCGGGAACCTTAAACGTTTTCATATTTTTCTTCACCGCTCCTTTGATTCTTTGATTGTAAACATTTATTTTCGAAACTCGCATATCATGTGATTTGCAACCTACATGCACTTAATTCAGTTCGGAAGCTGCGAAATTGCTGGCCTTTGTTTGATTGCTGTAAATGCCGGACTAAGCTGGCAAAGCAATTATTTACCTAAATGGTTTGCCCACGTCAATGGCAATTGTCTGCGATTTCCATTTGGCTGAAATGTGTTGCATGCAGGCTGTCAGAAGGCTGTCAGAGGCATCCGAACAATGAAATCCGGCAGAAGGGACGAGCTGCAGCCGAGGAGGCCAGTTGGGCGCTGCAACAAAAGCAGGATAAGGCAAACTTTTTAATTGAAAACCAACAAAAATATAACGTCAAAAGTTGCAAGTGGTTGACACTTCGTATGCGTAATATTGGGGCCGCCAGGCAGCCAGAGTAAACGAAACGAAATGAATCCTTTGGACAGCCGTTGCCAGGCACCCAGTGTACATATATGCACCACGTGTCCACTGGTCTTTAATCAGCAGCCGAGCTATGGCCGCTTGGTTATGAGCGGACTCGAAGTATACTTGTATTTAAATTTAAGATTATAGCCGTGCGCGGAGTGCGGCCCGTGCACTCGTGACTGGCGGATTGGGATGGCGATTGCTGTTGACACAGTTCCGCATCGGACTGCCTCCCATTGCGCTTTATTTACGTCTCTGCAACTTATCGAAGTTGGCATATGATGCTCGCAGCTCGCGAGTTTTTAAGCCGCCTGCTCGCGTCCGAGGTGGCGACTCCGCAGCGCTGATGCGGCATCAGCTGCAAGTGGTAAACAACCACCCACCAACCACTGGCAACCACTGGCAACCACTTCATCCTTCAGCTCGCCGCCGGCTATGTAATGTGATTACTCAGTTGTTTTGCTCGCAATTAAAACAAATTGTGCCCGCTGTGGGCGAAGGCATAAACAAACTGCTGGATGCCAGCGTATTTGCCACCGTGTTGTGCGCACAATGATGGTCGCAATTCGATTATTCCACCAGTTGCACGGCTTCAGCTCGAATTAATCTCTAACCCGGACATCCTTGGGTCCGTGATTAAATCGCTCATAAGGCCAGCAACGAGCCATAAAAAATCAATTGCGACTGTGGCAATGTCGCCAAGATTTACGTTTCAATTTCGGATTCTGCCACAATAAAAGGCAACGCGAAGGGCGGCGTGTGTATCTGTGTATCCCTGGAACACGCACACATGTGCGCCCAGTGCGATTCCTGCAGGACTCAGTGTGTGTGTGTGCCTGCGACTTTGTGTGCGACCATAAGCTGGCTTAGCAGATTTGTTGCCGAAATTAGCAGGCTGTAGGGATTGAAAAGGGAGCGGCCGTCGTGCAGGATATCTGTTTTCGGCAAAGGAATTCGGCGTCGTTCGAACAGATTTATGCGCTATAAAAGTGCGGCTAGACATGAACGAACATGTCAGCAAGGACGCACTTTATGGCGACCCATATAAAACAACCCGACTGGCCATAAAAAGTGAAATGCCCGATCAGCACACCCAACCAGTTACTGTTTTAACATTTAGTCCTTGGCCACAATACTCTTATTTATCCGAATGCAAATACCTCATGTTTGCACTAGGCTTTGGTCCTTTCGTAGGTTGCTTCTGTTAATTCAAAGTCAACAGCCCCGAAATAAAACCCAAGCCCATCGTGTTTGCCTAAGGTAATTACAAAGGCAATGTTTACTTATGGCCCTTCATTAATACTCGCATGTGAAAAGGTCCTTGCTCTTTCCCCGCCACTCGCACTTTAATTGCGGCACATACATGTTTTATGGCGTGCAACTTGTTGGGGCTCGTCCTGCGGCCAACTTGGGCCTAAGCCAGTTAAAACAGCTAAAACAGCTAAAAGGATCGGGGATACATCCGCGTAGCTGGCTGCCAAGTTGTCGCAGCCGCAGGTGCGGCGGAGCTTCTCGTGCACTTTGATAAAGTTGCAAGATAATGCACAGTCCTCCGCTAAGTATGCCACTGAGATAGCAGCCCATCCACGCAGTTCTTGCCCCTTGCCACGCCACCCACTTCAGCCCACACTCGCAGAAAGTTACCTAATTGTTGCGTCTATTAACAATCGCTTTTAAATGGGCAAGGACTACAGCTACCTGTGCAGTGCCACAATATATAATCATGCCTCTCAATGCAAAATGAGGTATCTTTTAGATCACAGCTCTTTAATCATTTATAAAATACGCATAGAAATACAGTTGAACTGCCCATGCAAATGCAAAAGGGTATGCTCTATTCGTTCAAAAGTGTGTAAGCCCTGCAAAGTAGTCTAAGTGATCACCACCATGTGCCATTTTAGCTGATTCCGCCAAGTAAAGGGTACCCGATAGTCGATGCACTCGACTTTATCGTTCTCCCTTGCCTTCATTCCTTAAAACAAAACAGTTTTTCGACTTTCAATACATTTAAATTTCTTAAGCAACGACAATTTCTGAGTGTATCCTTGAGCTTTAGGGCGGTGGAGGTGCCCCACTCACCCGCTTGCCCACTTGATGCGCTGCAACCTCTTGCAGCTCCATAATTGCCATAGCAACGCCAACTTCTGCGATTCTAGAGCTTGGGGAGGCGGGAGATGGGATTGGGGAGCTGGAAGCGTTTTCACTCTGTTGTTCTCAAATTGCTTTTAGCAATCCCTCATACTTTTGCGTTACACTTCAATGGCGAACGCCAAGGCCTGGCGCATTTTCCATTCGCTGCGCCACAATTACAGGTGCAGGACGAAATGGCTCGCAATTGCATTTCGTCTTCAGCGTCCGTAATCAGACGATTTTGAAGTGTTTTGCATTCAAGTTTCGCTTTAATCAGGACGATGGCCGGCGGAGGACAAACTTTTCGGGCGCAAGACAAAAGGCGCAGATAACAGCTATGAAAACAGGAAGTTGCCCCTGGCCACCGACGAAGGCTGCCGGAAAACACTGAAAACTACGCAGTTCGCCCGAATATTTAGTGTAAATTTAAGCAACTGTTTTTGTAGAAAAATAGTGCTTCTTAGAAACAGAATGTAGTTCTGAAATATAATAATAGTACACTATACTTGTACGAGTATATCATAATGAAATAACCGTGTAGCACTGGCTACAAAAGCGAAGATCTGGAACACGGAACCAAAGAGCCAAAGTTGGAGAGTCTCCAGTGCATTCGTTACGTTATTTTTGTGTTAACTGATTTGCAAACTGTTGTTAGTTTCGGCAACTAGCGGATAGGTAAACACCTTTACGGGTCTGGGTCACTTTCCAACTGCTGTTTGGTACACGAAACAACTTTTAAGCACTCTCACTGAGAATTTAATTCCGATGTGTCGGTTTGCCTTTAAGCTCTTTCTGTTTAATCAACGGCAAATGTGCACATGTGAAATGCAAGGTGATTTCAATTGCAGTATCAATTTAATTGAATGGTCATCAAGCAGTAGGAATTTACACAGGAAAATCTGGCTCTGCCACACAATAAAACGCGCAAAAGCACGAATCAAATGTTCAGCCATCGATAATCTGCATATTTGTATAAAATAAATTTCCGATTTCCATGACAGGGCATTAAGATCATTCCAGCAATAAGAATGTATCCATTATCCAACCCGCAGGGCATTATCCAGAGCACCAGCGCTTTTAGTGCCAGCTTTCAGAGGATCCGCAACAAAAACACTCGTTTATCCCACTGAGGAGCGTCTGTCAAAGAGCTGCAGACTCGAGTGTCGAATGAGTTTTAGCATATTAAATATTTACATTTGGCAAGAGTAATGTCGGCCCGAGGCCGTACCGCCCCGAGATTAGGCCAAGTTGGTGGCTCTGGCTGGATAGCCACTTGGTGCTGGTCAGGGCCAACTCAGGCGGCGGAATGGGGCTTGGAATTTATAATTGCGATTATATTTGCATAAACTTAAGACATTGCTGCTGAACATGTCCTGTCGGAATTATTTTTATGGCCTAGTCAAGGCATCCAAGCTGAAATTTTACACAATATGTCTAATATTTATGGCCGAAGTTTTATAATAGGCTTTGTTGCGGCTTATGAAAGGATTAGCCTCAGATGCTCAAAGGCAACCGCAGTCGAGCCAGAATACTCTCAGTGAAGTCGGAAAAGGCCTGATGACAGTTTTATTAAATTTCCACGTGATTTCTACAAATTTATGTCGGTACACTAGCCAAAAACAAAGTAATTAGGGAAATTCTGCAATTCCCAAGGTACAAACATTAAACAAAGCGATTTAACTGATTCTAGAGAGTATGTTCACAGTACTTTTATGTGAGTAGGGAAGAGTAAGATTTTTAATAAAATTAATTATTAATGTGCAACCCTTTTAGCTCGAATGACCGGTTGAGGCGACAATATATGTAGGCCACAACTCTTAATTAAATGGTTATTCATATAACACATGGTCAAATAATAAATAAATATTTAAATAAATTTGCTGCTACGCGCTTTTTGCTGGTTATGATTTCGATAAATGCGCGCATTTGTGGGTAGCAATATAATTGCTTTGGCAAACATTAAATTCATATCGGTATCATCTGCCAGTTGGCAATATTGTTTAGCCAGAACGAAATAAATATTTTCTGAATAAATTGCCTCACAAGGGAAACAATTTGCATTCACATAAATATTCAGCACTTGGATTGGGTCAATCGACATCCCTCATATGGCCGGAAATGAATGGATTGCGTTCGGGCTGCGTTGAATCTGGGCAACTTCTTGGCCCTGATTTATCTGCCGCATTCAGCGCCAACTGTTGCACAAACCCAAGGATACTCAATGACTGGAGATGTAGCCCTTCAGTGGGGCGGGGTATTGTTGTATTGTGTTAATGCATGGCGTTGTTAGGCAGCTCAAAGTGTACAAAAGAAATTAACAAACTTGAAAAATAAGAAAAGCTGCGAATTCAGCGGCAACTGTTGACAGTTATCCTGGCACAAACACGCATTGTAATGTCTAACAAGCTTCACAGCAAATATCGCCCGTCACTCAACGGCCTCACAGTCCTGACAGCTCCTGCGTCCTGCGTCCTGCGTCCTTAGTGTGTGTGTGTGTGTGTGTTTGCGGGTGTGCGGGCGTCTGTGCGAAGTCTCCTGTCATTTACATATTTACACTTTGTTCCCGCTGCTTTGGGCTGAACTTTAGCTTGTGGTGGTGTTTTGCGCCACATGCTCTGCCCCAAGGATGCGTAACATCCTCGGGAAAAGCATCCAAATATTTTATTTTAGCGCAGTGCTAATGCAACTATGATTCGCAGCCAAGTTCCCCTTCTCAAGTTCGGGTGCCCTGCTGAAATCCTTGTTGGTTTAAGGTATCACTATTTAAACTGAAAGCGCTTAGTCATGTATCGATGAAATTATAGTGCACGAAACAATTGGTTACAGTTTGAAATGTTAAATACATAAATGAAGTTTTGAAATGTTTTACAACCTGCGCGAGCAATCCCAGCAATTTTTTACTAAAAACCAAGAAGAATAGGAATACAAATTTTAAGAAGTATTTCAACATCGAAGCTAAAGGTCTGAAATGGCCTGAAATTGACTGACACCAAAAAGGTTGAACAATATTTTAGCATTGTATCAAAATCTAGTAATATATGCTGTGTAGCTTACGACCCCTGAACGTACTACTAGTTCATTAGTTACCCCTTTGGCAAAACCAAGATTGAGCAGGCACATGCATACATTGCTGCTTCGCGCAGGTCATTCTTGGCAGTGATTAGAAACTGAGAAGATACTTTCATCCGCAGTGATATGCTTTCGCCAATGCAATGCAAGTAAGGCAACTGCCGGGGCTGGCGGAATGCACTTTGAGGTGGTCAGTGCGAGGCCAAATGGCCCGAAGGCGCCAAGGAGAAATGCAATTTCCACAGAAAATAACAGATAGCGGCCTATAGCTGGATTCACTTTGGTGCAATTTGCATGAATCCGGCGGTTAACAGCCCGCTAACAGGCGCTGTTATCGTTGCGTTCTGCCGACCCGTGGCTGTGTTTATTGCGCACAACTCATTCATAAAAGCGGGGAGAGCACTCTCTCGGAGGAGCGAGAGAGAGATAGAGAGAGAGAGAGTGGAGATTGAGTTGTCGGCGGCTGCTGTGCTTGTGTGCAATAAATACAAAGGACTCAGCATCCGCGGCAACAGTGGCGTCGCAGTGCTGAGCGCAGAGTGTCGCAGGTCGAAGGACTCAGTTATCGCGTAGCCGCCGTGTGTGACGGACGGACGCAGCTTGGTGTCCGATTTAAAGGGACTCTTGGTGCGAGAAGTGCATTCAATTAACATAAAATGTAATTAGGGAGCCTCTCTCCGCCCCTCTTAATCAAACGCAAACATCGGGAAGTGAGCCGCGGAGACAAAACGACTGCCATTGAAGCGCCTGCAAACAATTCCAGCATGCCAGTGCACTCGAAACTCAATCACGTTGAACGGAAATCGTCGCAAATTAAACGTAAATTAAATACCACCCGGCCACGCGGCACTCGGACCGTCTTTATTAGAAGTTATGGCTGCCAACCTTTGCCAGCTTTGTTTCATCCATCAATGTGTGCGACAGTCACGTGGGTGTGCGGACTGGGTTCCGGACTGGGTTGGGATCGGGATCGGGATGGGGATGGGTATTGGGATTGCCGCTGGCATGTCGCTAATTTCTCACACTTCAAACGTGGCCGGGACTGGCAATGAATTTCCGCTCCGGCCTCCTGCGGATGCCTTCGTTCCGTTTGGCTTTGCTTTGCTTTTCCAGCCAGAGCTGTGTTCCCAGCTCCCAGCTCCCCCAGTTCCCACCTCACCCGCTCCAGTGCTCGTGCTATTTGGATAGCTAAGCCTCTCCAGCGCCACAGATTAAATGGATTGACGGTGCATATTCCCCGGCCGTTGGGTAAACACGAGCACAAGCACTTGGACCGGGAGGGGGCGTCCATGGGGGGCGTCCATCGGGGGTCGGGGATCGGGGAAGGCCTCCTCCGCTTTCACTTCTTTATGATTAGTTAATGGGATTCAATTTCATTTGAAATCGGCCGCCGCAGAACGTGGCAATCGCAGCTACCGCAGCTTCCTTTCGCATATTACGTAAGGCAACTTTCTGAAGGAAACACTTGTTGGGTCTTTCTCAGCTAACCAGGCACGTAGCTCCGGCAAAAGGAGTACAAAGTGGGGCAGTTGGGAGGCAGAAGGCGGAGGGCGTTAGGATGAAGGCCGGGGAAAGTGAATCACAGTTGCGCCATTAGGAGCCCGTGAAATAAATTCAATATAAGCGGGGCCTAATGGCGGTAGTTGAGTTCCATTTACATTCAGCCTCCATAAATTGGCATGGCTGCGAAATCGTTGTGTACTTAAGAGGGCCCACATTTAGCAGGCGCAGCATCGGCATTGTGAATGCAGCATTTCACCTCCACACTCGAGTGGCAAGATGAAAAGGTACAAGTGTGCATTCTAAAAATAACAAACAACTCGAGTGCGATAAAAACAGCAGTTGCTACCAAGGTATAAAGTGCCAGCGTAAACACAGCCGGAGAAGGAGCGAAAACAAACATCGGAGCCACCTAAAACGGCGAACAAACAGCGGAATCCTTGCAGCGTCGGTGTATCGGTGTATCGGTGTGTCGGTGTATTGGTGTGTGTGTGCTAGTGTGTGTGGCCAAAGGAGCCAAGGAAAGAGTCAGAGCAAAAATGTGCAAGTAATGTGCAGCAAGCAAAGTGCAATGCCATCCGTGAAATCCGCCGAAAGTGAGATTCTTCTTGGGATTATAAGGAGCGACAGCATGACGAGCGGCAATTCCCTCAGGTCCTGCCTCCTGCTGGCCACCATCCTGGGATTACTCTGCCGGAGCAAGGGTGAGTGGGGGCAGTCTGGAAGTCCCTCAATCTTCGGACTGAGCAGCTCTCTGCCGCCGATTGCTTTGCTTGAATTATGGAGAGCAGACGGAATAAAATGAGAATCCGTTTTACAGCCTTATTAAATCTGTATTACATAAATTACGGCAAGCGCTTCACTCTGAATTTTTATGAGTGCTTTGCGCTTTCGCATTTTCCATTTGCCTTTCCCTGCTTTTATGTCATAATGAGTGCAGCCTTTTGATTTAATGGCAACTGTTTGCCATAAAACAAAATACGTATGCACACACAGCGCCGGCTTTTATGTGGCCCGTGATTTATTTCGCTTCTTATTTTTATGATAATTTATCAAATATGCATAATAAAATGCCAGCAACCGTTTATGGCCTCTGGAAATTTCGCCAAAATTGCATTTGTAAGGTGGCAACAGCTTGCCGATTGGATTCTGTGTGCTGAGTGCCTCCTGCAGGGTGGACCTTGTTTTGTCTTACATGACGAATTATAAGCAAAGTTTTGTAGTATACATCACTATGGCACTGAAAACGATGTCTACTCTTTAAAGTCCTTAATTTCAGTACATTGAAGAATGTAGATACAATATTAAAAATGCTTAAATGTTTCCATCCGATTGATCCAACGTACAATAGTCGCAAATAGTTTTCCCATTGAAAACTTGCTTGGCTTAAATACTAATTTTTTAAATTTAATGGATTTTGATCAGTTTGATCTAGCTAAGAAATCACGTGCATATAAATACTTTGCTATTTACTCCCATCGCAAATAATAATTTCTTTAGGCCTTAGAACAGATATATATGCACTAATGGGGACATTACATTTTTGAAACATCTTCGATACATATTAAAATTACAATTTAATTATATGACCCATATAACTAAACTAACTAGCCAAATGATGAATTTGCCGTAATGGACTATACACATTGTTCAGCAAGAGCTTTTCCTCGTTACTTTACTTTTCATTTTCCTATAATTTGGTGTATTCACTTCGTGAGACGTCGATAAGGAATTTGTGACTATTCAAAGGGAAACTGAACTTTTGAACCGCTTGTCTCTGTTTTTCCAAAGATAGGAAATAGTCAAAAATATTCGTTGTCGCTTTTTATTTTGTATTATATTATACCCGTTACTCGTAGAGTAGAAGGGTATACTCGATTCGTCGAAAAGTAAGTAACAGGTAAAAGGAACCGTTTCCGCCCATATGAAGTATGTATATTTATTCTTGATCAAGATTAATAGCCGAGTCCGTCTGGGAACTATAAAAACTAGAAACTTGAGATTAGTATGCAGATCCCATTTGTTGACCCATTTGCCACGCCCGCCGCCACAGCTTTTGAAAAATGTTTCGATATTTCTTCCTCTTCTTGTTTGTCTTGCCAATTTCTAGCGGTATACCAAAAACACTTTGGCCACGCCGCTTCTAGCACCTACAAGCCGCCCAACACTGCCACGCCCATACTTTTGTACATTTATTTAAACTTTTTCATTTTATTGTTTTATCGCAATTTCCATCGGTATGCCAAAAAAGTGTTGATATTTCTCGTTTTTCTAGCTAAGTAACGGGTATCTGATAGTCGGGAAACTCAACCATAGCATTTATTAACTCGTTTCGATGTGCGATTTTACTGGTCAATAATTTCACGATTACAGCAGACAGGGTAATCTGCCTTAGGATCCGTGAATTTTCCAAACTTTTTGCCAGGAGGAAGTCCATAGGCACCACAACTAAAGTGAATTCATATATAGTATAGTATACCATATTATAAGAAACAAACCTACGATTGTATCTCTGCCACACTATTTTCTCCGCATATAATTCGCTCACACCTCTGTGGGTGGCGAGCAATCTGACCGTTTTCAAGAACCAATCCCTCGAGAACACACTTTCCAGGATGGGCTGGATCCTTGAAGACGCCCTGGGAAACAGCTGCCTCGTATCCCGAAACTAGTAAAGCGGCAATTGCCACAAGTAGCACTGTAGCTGGACGCATCGCAGAGTCTTTAAATCCCAACTTAGACTGTGCAAGTTAGACTGGCAAGTCGTCGGAATAAATATTTATATAAGTAGGCAGAGCTTTCAAACAAAATTTGTGCTCGCTCACACAAACACATTTATTAGAACGATAAGCGTATGAGACGGGCTGCACTTTGTTATGCCGATAATGGACAAATAAAAACGCCAAATGGATTTTACTAATCTGTTTGTTTTTTTTTAAACTTTAATAATGAACGCATTTAAATTTCTTATGTTTATGTATAACGTTTATTAGTATATTAGTATATTAGTATATTAGTATATTAGTATATTAGTATATTGGCTGTTATCAAGCTTGCAGCTTTTGAGTTTTAAGGTTGATTTTCTTGAAAATTAATTACATTGCAAGCAAGAAATAATGCTATAGTCGAGTTCCTCGACTATCAGATACCCGTAACTCAGCTATTGGAATTGCGAATGAGAAATTTCATAATTTTTTGGAATATCGGTAAATTTGCAAAAAACATTTAATTTTTTTTTTTTAAATTTGGACGTGATGCGGACGAAGTCCGGCGGTTTTGTGGGCGTTGGAGTGGGTGTGGCAACATTTGGAAAGAAACCTACGCACAAACCAGGCACAGGAAGCTGCGTGCTTAATCTCAACATTCTTTTGTAGTTCCTGAGATCGAGGCGTTCATACGGACGGACGGACATACGGACGGACATACGGACGGACATACGGACGGACATTCGGACGGACATACGGACGGGCATACGGACGGACAGACTCGGCTATTGATCCTGATTAAGAATATATGGTCGGAAACGCTTCCTTCTGTCCGTTACATACTTTTCAACGAATCTAGTATACCCGTTTACTGTGCAAGTAACGGGTATAAAAATTACCTTGATGGGAGCCTCATAAGCTTTCATTCTGTTGGCTGCTGTGAAAGTGATAACTTTTTTTCGAGAGCATATATTTTACCACTGCATCAAGAGTAACATTTTATCAGAGTTTATTTAGAAACACTTCGCAAATGATATATGTATAAATGCATATGATTCATATTATAATCGGCTTACACTTTTTCTGCTAAGCTAACTAAAATCCTATTCAAAAGTTTTGTTCTGCCAAGCAATAATAAAGTTCTGGGGACTTGTCTTAATTTAATAAAGTCAATAATGTTAATTAGTTTAATATTCGTTATGTCACACTTTTGCTATTCAGCTTGCTCGTACTTAAGCTGTATCAGTAGAGGGAAAACAAATCAATATTTAATATTCCTGATAAATAAAACAACATGCATGTGTGTGGTGCTGGTCCACCTTACAGTACATATAATTTGGGATATGTTTTGAAACTGAAGACACTCGCCAGAGAAAAGTCAAGCCAGCACGATTTTACTTTGGTTTTGTTCTCGTCCCTCCACAGCTTTGCCCTTTGAGTATGTAGATGAGCACGATGACTTCAACTACGACCTGGACACGGCGCAGTCCCAGGCCAAGTACGACGCCCGTCTGCTCTCGCAGCAGATGCTCAGCGATGCGGAGCTGCAGCGGCAGGGGCTGAGCGACGCCCAGGACAACGCCCTGGATGGGAACTCCCCGGCAGCTCAGGGGACTGGAGCCGGATCTCACTTGGATGCGGGCTCCTCTGCCCAGGAGGACCTGGAGCCGCACAGCAGGGCAGCGGCGTGCTTCACCAACGGGCACAAGTACCCACACGGACAGAAGGTAGCAAATCGGGATTTTACTAAATTAAATCATTATAAATTAAATCACTGCTGTAGCTAGAGAACAGCTAGCCCCTTTAGGGCTACCAAGTCATCTTCTTTTGGTTGAACGTCAGTGGAGTCAGTGAAGTCAGTGAATTTCCTCAGACATCCGCTTTTGTGGGTGTAAAGCGGCAGTGGAAGTCCGTTTCTGTGGTCATTTCAATAACCATAATCTGAGAAGCGTTCTTGGTTGTTGAACAAACAGATTGCATAATTTGAATTTGTGGCTCTTTGCGGCACATGTGATGATATGAATGAGCAGACTATCTGTTCCCCCTCAGAAATGTGTTCTTTGCTCGCCCATCCACTGTATCTCAGGCCATCAAATCGGCTGGCGTTGTGATTGATTGTCTGGTTGTGGGTGCACATGCTCCCACAAGTAGCGTGTAGCATATATGTACACAAGCCGCAGGAGCACCTGCTGACTGAACTTGCCGGAGGAGAAACATCTAAGTTATTTGCTATATCCTTTCCAGGTTCCGCGCCTGGATGCCTGTGAGGTGTGTCTCTGCATGGACGGCGAGATCTTCTGCTGGTGGGAGAAATGCGGTTGGTTATGCGTCGGCTTTTCCCGGCATGCATAATATAACGAGAAACTTTTGCCTTTTTCTCGCAGATAAGGCCAATGTACACAAGACGAGGACGGCGGGGGACAACGCAGGACTTGGACTTGGTGTTGAGGATGACGATGACGGTGACGGTAACGGTGATGGTGACGCCGACGGCGATGGCGACTATTCAGATCCATATCGCCACGAGAGCACAACGGGAAAGTCAACAAAAGTGCACAAGGCGGCGAGGAAAGTTGGCAAGCGGCATAAGCATCACAAGAACCAAAAGAATTTTAATGACTACCAAGTTTACCACAGCCAGCGGGAGAAGCAGCTGCAGCAGCGGCAGCAGGCGGATTATAAAAAGTCCGCCATAATGCAGCAGCTCCAGATGCAGCAAAAACACAAGAGCGACAAGAGCGGTGCTGGCAACTACAATATAATCAAGCAACACAAACACGAGCAGCAGCAGCAGCAGCAGCAGCAGCTCAAAATACCGCAGCAGCAACATCGGCAACAGCAGCAGCAGCAGCAGCAACAGAATGCGGCAGCTTTGGGTGTTAATCACGCAGCAAAGGCAACGCATTATCAGCAGGCAGCCTCGACGTCCCTGCCACCGCCGCCGTCCCAGCCGCCGCAGCACAGCCACCACCCGCACCAGCAGCCGCATTCGTCCAGCAAAATCCTGAACTTCCCCGAGAACCTGCCAGCCCTGCTCTACTACGACTACAAGACGGAGGAGCACGAGCACCACCAGCACCAGCACCACCAGCAGCACTTGCTGCACGAGAAGCAGCGCTTGCTACAGCAGCAGCAGCAACAGCAGCAGCAGCAGCAGCAGCAGCAACAGCAGCTGCAGCAGGAGGCGTTGGCTCGACAAAGGGCATCTGAATCCGCATCTGAGCCCGACTCGCGGGCTGGAGGCGCAGCAGAGGCAGGCGTGGCACCCAGCGGAGACTTGGCCGCTGATAAAAACTCTGATGAGGCGGAAACCGACAGCGATATTCTGCCGGAGCCGCCCACCAAGCAGCCCAAGGCAGCTGCCACACAATGGCCAGCTCCTGCTGGCAGCAGCTCGGCCAGGGCGTTGATGGCGAGCAACGTGGCATCCACATCCACATCCACGGCTGCAACAACGACAACGACAAAGACATCGAAAACGACAACGACAACGGGAAGGACGACGACAACGACGACAGGCCCAAGTGAAATGGTGACAAGCACGCTGTCTGGAATGGAGAAGTCCGGGGCCACAGTTGCAGCCAGAGATGTGAGTTGGGAGGTTGAGCAGGGTCCTGGTCGGGCTTTGTGCTGGAAAAGTAGCGCAAAACATATCCAACGCCAAGCGAAGGCATTGGAAATAAATGCCACAACTTTCTGTTGGGGCTAAAAGTTGGGGGACAATATTTGCCCTTTCTGAGTGATACTGTTATTGTGTGAGTGATAGTTCTGAGGAATCTTCGAGAGACTCCTCCTTTGTTCGCTTATTTTTCTAATTTTTTCGTATTATTTTTCTGGAAGCGAGTTGGGACCCACGTCGTAAAGACTAAGACTATTATCTCGCATTTGTCAGCAGCTCAGGGTATTTTAGTGCTCGGTGCCCGAAACCAGCTTCTCCGGAAAACCCCAAGGGAAGCTTACCCAATTAGGCTGGGCAACTGCCACTTCATTGGCTGCGTGCACGTGAAGCTTGAACTCTGCGCCTTCGGTGTGCCCAGTGAGCCTGAAATGCTGCCCGTAATGGGGTTTTTCATGCTCGAGCTGGTTTATTATTTACCATGCAGTCAAGTCGAATTAACAGTCTGTGCTTTATTCCCGCCCAGCTTGGACAGATGCAGCCCGATCGCCGTGGACCGGACGCGGAGCGCGACGACGCCTTCCACCGCTGGCTGACATCCACCGAGCTGAATGCCGACAACACGAACTCCGTGGACGACAGCCTGGAGCGGGAGACGCCGCCATCGACCATAATCGATGATGTTGGCGCGGCCAACAAGAGTGACAGGAGCATCGGCGGCATCGGTGGCATCGGCAAAGACAATGGCAACGACGCCGTCTTCTTTCGCAGCTCGTACAACGACTACAGCAGCGAATTCAATGGCAGCGTTGTCAATATTGACATTACACTAACTGCAGTTGATGTGCATGCCCGTCGCCAACCGGATTTAATTGCAAATGGCAACAAAACGTCGGGCGCTAACGACAACGGCAGCAGCAACGGCCAGGTTGGAGCAGCAGGGACAACAATAAACCCACAGGCCATCAGCAGCATCAGCAGCATCAGCAGCACCAGCAGCACCAGCAGCACCAGCAGCAGCAGCAGCAATCAGGAGCAGCCGCAGCAGAGCCCTGTTGTTCCGCCGTTCACCCTGACAACGATTATTACAACTGCGCCGCTGGCACCAGGGCGTATGTGCAATGTTTTGGGTAAGCACGCCAGTGGAGGGGCCAAGGGATTATGGCACAGAGTCAGCCTGCTACTGGGTCAGACTTGGTCAGATTTATAAACTGTATTTTTATTGCGATTAGCCTTGAATCGTAGCCTTGTCCTTACGATTTGAAAGGAGCTGCTTCAGCAGAGTAAGCCTCTTACAAATATTAATTAAGCTTTTGCACATAGTTTGCTAGAGAACATAAGGGCCAACCAGGTTGTCTGATACAATGCACTTATGAGCATAATCATTCAATTCAATCGCCACTTCCAATCCCGCTTAAACTGCAAATCAAACTCGGTTCTCGTTGCAGGCAAACTGTACAAAATCGGAGACATTCTGCCGCAGGACACGGGCAACTGCCTGCAGTGCATCTGCACGGATGCCGTGACTCCGGACGAGATGCCGAGCGTCACCTGCAGTCCGCACAACTGCCCACCGCTGGTTCTTCCGGATCTGTTCGACGCGACTGGTTACTGAGGTTACGGGTTTGTGCTGTAAGTTGCTGCAACTACGCTGGCGACGTGGCAGGTGGCAGGTGGCAGGCGCTGTGGCAGCGCTTGAACCGATCGCACCGTGATTTGAATTTCGAAACCGAAAGCCACAACTGCAGCCAGCCAACGCAATCGAATCACACTCCAACTCACTCTCAACTAACTCAACTAACTCAACTCAATATGAAACTCAATGAATTGTATGGATTTCAGTGTAAAGCCCTCCCTATCACAAGTGCCCCGAGCACTCTCTAAAGCGAACCTATCAGCAGACATATATTATATTCGTACCAAGCTATATGGGGAGAGGAGGAGGTAGCAGTTGGTTCACGTTCACAGTCTAGACTCTAAGCTGAATGTTTATGCATTTTATAAGAATCCGTATTCATCTCTCTCCGGAACAAAATCCATCAATGTATACAGCAGTAGCAATCGTAAAGAATTTATAGATGTACCAAAGAAGTATATATACGAGTACAACCATATATCTACTCCATGGCCATATCCAAACCTATACCTGTGCGTAGCGAGTTCGGTGGGATCAGTTAAATTACGTAGATTATTTCCCGACTGAGAGGAAACCGTGTAGAGTTTTCAGTGTACTTAACAAAGGCGAGCCCCAAGCGAAACGAGTAACTTATACAAATACACGACGTATAGGCCACTAAATCTAAACGAAAAAAACTGAACAATGACAAATAATGAACAACGTGCGTAATATTTTAGTTTTGATATTAAAAGCAAACAACGTATCCTCATTTGCATGCATGTTATTGTTTCGCGCTTCTTTTGAAATTACAGCATACGTAATCTATGAATCGAAAATTGTAGTGTGTATGGCCATTATTTTAACAAACACGAAGTTGGCAAGGAAAGACACCATATCGAGTAGCTATAACGTTTTAAGGAATAACCGAATAACCGCCACTGTACTTAAAATAAACTTAGAACCTCGAACTCTCGTACAGTTCAGTGAATTCAAAATTTACCGAGTTTACGGAAAATGGAAAATCTATTTCTTTTGGTTTCCGGTGACAGAGGCAGCATTTATTTCAAAGCAAGTTTAGGCGTGATAAACATTGATTTATTCGAAGGGGTTAAATTAGGCGGAATATATATTACTTGAAAAGTAGAAAACAATTTCGATTTTAAGGCAAATCAAAAGGCATTCGAGCGAGTTTTTTATAACCGAGTTCGATCAAAACTATATAGGCATGTGAACCATGGAATCAAAATGCAAAATATACGTACATGCGAACATAGCGAACAGACAAGCATACATATTTATTATTGATGTTCCACAAGAAAAGCCCAAGCGGAAAGGAAAATAGAAAATAGAAAGGAGAAAAATCCATCTCGAACGAGCGTATTAAAAATGTATACAAATATGCGTATTTATGTATGTGTAAAATAAATGTAACTACAACTCTCTACTAATCTGCAACTCGCACACAGATTCAGATGCACCGGCGTCCTGTGTTTAAATGGAATTTGTGTTTGAACTCAAATTGAAATCAAATCGACATGAATAAACCGAAACCCAACTAAGGCTCTATTTCATTTCAGTGGGTGTAATCCTATGCGAAAGGTAAGACGGCGATTAATTAATAAAATGCATGGTCTGTAAGACGTGCTAATTGGTAGTATTCAACCTGCTCATTATTTTAGGGCTAGCACAAGTGATTTAGCCAGAATTGGTGCCACATGCGATACAAGAAGCTATATATTTGATGCTTTACACATGGTTGCCATTTACTAAAGTATCAATTCAGTCTCTAGGTCTGGAAGACCCTTCTATTCTGCTAGTCGCCCTCGCTGCCGGACTCGAAGCCAGAGTCCTCGGCGAGTTCGGCTAGGATGAAGGCCTGTATAGCCATCTGCAGGGCAAACGCGTCGCCCTGGCCAGGATCGGGTCCTTGCAGGATGGCCGCGGGCGGACCGGCGTAGTGAGAAAAGGCTTCGCGTTGCCTGCCCAAGGACCGCGCCGCCAGCTGGTTGTCCCCTCCTCCGTCCATGTCAGAAGGTCCAGGCGGCTCCTTTTACCCGATCGGAGCTGAAAGTCGGAAGGCGGAACAATTTATGGCGCTGGGGCGCTGGGCTTGTGGTTTTTGGAATTTTGGGGGTATGCTTTTCGATCGGCATTCAAAACGTGTTTGAATATCCCCGGCCGATGTGACAGCCCTCACAAAAGCAGTGCGAATGCGGAAATTGCCGGCGGCAGATTGGCTGTTTAATATTGTTAAATAAGGCGCTTCTGGACGGGTTATTAGTTTTCCAGAGCCGTTTCTGTCCGTGCAGCGCAATCATCGCACTGACAGCCGACCGCAGGGCACTTTCGAGCTGTGTGTGCGTGTGTGTGTGTAACCGGAAGCGGAAGTCGCGTCCCCTTCCGCTCTGCGCCCCTGCCCATTGCCTGACCGCATAAAGCCATTGGCCCTTTTGGCCATTTTGGGAACAAGCCCCAGCCCACCACGCCCGCTGGCACAAAGTAGTCAGCCGCACAATACTTTGCTGTCAATTTGTGATAACGGCAGCTTTATTTGAAAATATGTGCGACTTTATTTCCCGGCTCTGCCGAGCCGATTTTGCGGCCACACTGGCTGACAGCTGCTAGATGGTTGGTTGGTTGGTTGGTTGGTTGGTTGGCCAGCATGCTGCAATGGAAAAGTGGGATGGTGGGAAAGTGGGTGGGCTGCCGATAGAACGTGTGAAATTGAATATTTACAAGAGCCTTTCAGGTGGAAAGCGGCCCATGTGGGGGGCAATGAATAGTGAGGCTTAGAGCGATTTGCAAAGAAACTGCGGATCCGTTTCAGCCCCTTCCGAGTTCGCATTTCGCATTATTATTTTTATGGCCAACTGAAGGTCCCAACTAATTAAATTTCCCAGCTGCGTGTGTTTGTGTGCACACATTTAAATTGAAGCCGGCTATAGGACTACTATACTCGTATATGAGTGCATGACTGCGTTCCGGGTTGGGGAGTTGGTGGAGCAATGCACATTTTTAATTACGCTGCACATTTGCATTTGAATTGCGCATTTTACAGGCTGATAAGCCGAAATAAAGGCAACAGTTGTGCAGTGGCTGCCAAAGATATGTTGGCCTGGCCACGCCTCCATGCATCTGCACACTCGCTCGTGTTTTTTACAGATCCCCAGAATGTGTAATTTTCGAGTTGACAACTTTTGTCCCAAAGCAGTGACCTCGTTACACCCACACAGTCGGCATATACTATATTGCATTAGAGCCTGTGCTCCTTCAGAGCAGAATCTGCCCGCAGCCATAGCCCCAGTGAGTCGGGCGGCACAAAGGACACGGAGGAGGCGGAACTGGAATGGATTGAATTGGATTGGATGGTGAAAGCGAGTCCTTCAACGGAATGCAAAGGAGAGAAAGTTGAGAACAAAAGGCACAGGGCGCTTTTAAATTTTACTGCCTGCGCTTCGATTCCGGGCGCTAATGGAAGCCCTGTAGTTCCATTATACATCCTAGTCCGGGGAGGGTTTTCCCGATCGACCATTCTGCTAATGGGAAAGCATGCAGCGCTGTGCCCTTTAAATTCTCGAAGTTCAAGGACCCTCGGTTCCAGTCCGTAGCTGCACCTCCATTCTGTCACTATTAAAAGGGGAAAACTGGGCTGCCGCCGCAAATCAACGACACTGGTGTCCTATTCCTCGCCATCCGCAAAAACACGTGTCTGGGTAGGGCACTTTTCAACCGCCTGCTGGCCTGATGTTTAAGCCATTTTTAATGACAGCCTGGCGCTGGCGCCTGGCGCCTGACAACGGCTAATGATGGCGGCTAGCCAAAGTTTTGCGGCTTTTGCGGATTAAAATTGAAAACGCTGCATTAATTAATCCCGCCAACGGAAGAATCCAACTAAAACGTGACATGAGACAGGTGTCGCATTAATTAGTGCAAGCATTCACACGGCTCCCTCTCCACATCTTGCGAAAAGAAAGTTTCCTCGGGCGGGCGTTTTAATTTCACCGAGATGTGTCACTCCGCAATTTGGGTCAAGATGGCTTGAGTTAAATTATTGCAAGCGCCGTTCAGCACCGACTTCCTGCCCCTCGAAGTCCTCGAATCCAGGACACGCGCTTATTTGCATCAAGCCAGTGCACCAACTCCTTTGAGAGCCTCCACCAACAAAAGCTCAAAAACGGGATTATTGGATTACTGGGCTTGTACTTGACAATACAATTAAATTCGCACCTTAAGCATTTCATTCGCGGGCCTCTTACCGTGATTAGTTCACACCACTAAAACACATTTTCCGTGCCATTAACATTTTAATTTACCATGTTAGTTTTGGAGGTTAGTTAACATAAGCATCTATTATCTAAGAGTGCTCATTGTATTTAAAGTAGTTCCAAACAAAATCCGAAATATTAAAAAGCAGATAGTATATCAAAATGTATTCGATGGATACTCAATGAAATACTCAAGGAGATATGGCTTTAATCCCAGGAGGTGCAAGCAGCTTAGCAAGCCTTTCATCAATTAAGACATTAAAACATCTAACGCAATCCAGCAGAATGTCTGGCCCCAAACAAGAGTTCCACAAAGGCGCCAAGCCTCCAATCCTAGCCAGTCCCCATTATTGGGGGCATCCGTTACCTGAGCCCAGCCAGACGGCAGTTTCCAGAGATGAGATGCGCCGAGACGAGCAGCTGATGACCGTGACTGTGCCGAGTCTTCTGGGGCAGCTGAGGGTGAACATACAAATTAATCTTCCTGTGGCACCCACACCCACCACCCAACTGAACTTCTGGCCGCTCAAGCTGGAAAGCGATGGGAAAGGACAATAACAAATCAAAGTGCTGATAGTGGGGAGAGCTGCCATAGTTTATTGCAATCAACTTAAAATCTTAACCTTATTATCTCGAAATTATCGGGCACTTTGTGTAAGCTGTAACTTTTTGATTGGTCCCAGTGCAGGGTGCTGAAGTGAAATTGTTTACCATCTTAAATTTAAACAATACGGTGAGCCGAAGCTAATTAATATGAACAACTGATGTGTAGAAAGAATTATTCTCAGCAAAATTTCCGACGATGTTTATTAGGAAAGCCCAAAATAGATCAAAAACACCATTTTTCATCTATATTGCGAGTATTCCTATGGCAGCTACATAAACTAGTGGTCCAATCTGGCCTTCCGGCTAATATAGAAACGGACGGACAGATACTGACGGACATGCGAATACTGATCAAGAATATATGTACATACAATACTATATCTACATACCATATGTACATACCATTTGTACATGCTATATCTACATACCATATGTGCATACTATTTGTTCATATGTTAGTCCTCCCGCGGTAAGTGAAAGGTTTGGTTATATTATTTATATGTTTAATTGCAATGTTATGGTACTAGTACTGCATGTACGTTTTCGTAGCTTTACAAATAAAAAAAAAAAAAAAACTGTTCATTCTTTACTTCTGCCTTAAACATATTAAGCTAAAAATTTTATTTACTAAAATGGACACAAATTTTTGTATCATTAGTTTAAATTATATCTTTTGTACGTTGGCGGGGCGATCGTCACTAGCTTTGCAACTCGCTCAGAGGTGTTTTTGTTCCATGTACACTCAGTTTTTCTATTGAAGAAATATATCTAATGGAAAGCATCTTAGGGAAGAATGTTAAACAATACTTTGTATACTTCCAGGGTGAGTCTTCCAAATTGGTATCATGTTGTACCGTTGTCAGGTACTAAGAACTATATGCCTATCTGTTTCTGATCCTTAAACTCGCAAGCTCATTTCTTTAATAACTGGCAGCGAGTTTCACCTCTAATCCCACTGCGCCAAGTGTAAGCCAACCACTGACTTGGTATTTAAAGCTCCTCGGTGACTCGGCCAGCGCAAACAGTTCCTGGACCACTGGTGGTCCTTTGTGTAATACCTCCGTTGAGAAATTCCTTTCAGCCCGCTCCGTGTTCCATCTGCTCCCGGTCAGAAGCCACTGGGGCAAACAAGTCCGCAGGTCCAATGGTTAGTTACCAAGTGTCAGTCACTCTTTCAGCACTTTCCTTAATTACTGTCATTGGCCGCCGCTGGCATTTTGTTTCAGAGCTTTTGTCAATTTCCAGTCACCAAATATTATCTTGCAGAGAGCTCTGTTTTTGAAAGCTGTGGTTTTGAGCTATCCCAGTTGGCCAACAAACGGTTGTCGATATTTTTGAGCACTTTAACTGGCTAATTCTCGTGCAAAATGCACAAATTGTGTAATTTTCAAGTTAACAGCTCTTGACCTGGTTCAGAGTGGCAGCCCCCGCAAATCCTTCTGTTGATTTGGTCCGCGGAATTTTGTTTGTTTTGTAACAGCAAATATGCAAAAGCGCAATTGTGTGTTAAGTTGGCTTTGTTGCCGCGTGTGTGCATACTTTTAGGCTCAGAGGTAGTGGAGGCATTTTATGCGACTGCCACAAGTTTGTTGGCAAAAGTTTGAGCCCGTAAAACTTTTAATTCAGTGCCTACCAGCCAGTTGTTCCCGGCCAGCCAACCCATCCAGCCCATCCAGCCCATCCAACCCATCGAGCTCATGGTTGCCATGAACAGCAGCAGCAACAGTAACAGGCTTTTAGTGAATACACACATTAAGCCCTTTGCCGCTCGGTCTGTCCTTTATGAAAGGGTTCGGGAGCAAAAGTTTGGCATACACCTTAGGATCCTGCCTGGTGGCTGTTGGTGCTTAACTAACAACAATTCGTGGGTAAAAGGCGGCGAGTGAGTGCAGCTCGAGAACAAATGAGGAAAATATGCTTCAATAACAAAACACTCAACACTTAGGAGCACGGGAACAAGTGAGCACAGGACGAGTGCTAAAAGGAACAACGACCGATTTACATAAGGACCCCAAACAGACGCACCATCCATCCACATCCAGCCATCCGGAGAAATGCAAACACACCCAGAACACCCCGAACACCCAGAACACCCAGACACTCGGAAAAACAAGCGGCTATTGTGGAGGAAACTTTTTGCGCCGCTGAAAGGAGTTTTTCGATGCAGAAAAAGATTTATTAATATTTAACAGCCCAGCTAGAGCAAAACACACGAAATTTTTCGAGATATGCAAACATAATAACTGTTGCAGCAGCCACGATGAAAGTTCAACATGGGCGTAAGTGGACTTTGCTGTGTA